CGAGGAATGAAGCCCAATTGGAGGATCTCCAAATCAGATAGCCCAAAGAACGAAGCCCAATCAAACAATTCAAGATGAAGGCCCAAATAGGGAGGCCCAAGAACGCGGTAACGCCATCGCCCAAGTTTGCAAGTCGCCCAGAATATGAGCGAATGGAGTGCCATGCAGTCGCCTAGAGCTGTTACTCTATTCTCGCCCAAACCTTCAAGTCGCCCAAAGTCTTAACAAACATAAAGCGTTGTGGTTATCAAGAAGTGCAGTTATCAAAGCAGTTATTAAAGTAACCCTATCACGTTCCACGATTCAAGGAATTCAATCGAAAACGGTTGAACGACGAAGAGTAGTGGCAGCAGTTAAAAAAGGCAGTTTTCATGACAAGCTATCCATTATGAGGAAAGTGGGCAGTTGCAGAATGATCAAGCAGTTTTTAGGCGGTTGATCACAAAAAAGATCATCCATGGAGTATAAAAGGGAGAAAAGACATAGAGCAAAGGACCGAATCAAAAACTCTCGAACAGAGAACATGTAATTTTAATTTCCTTAACTTAGACTTAAACACTTTTTTCAGTAATTCTTGTGCTTGCGCCCCTTGGAGGCATTCTGTTTTTAATTTCCAATTGTAAAGTCATTGTCAATAAAAGAACACGCCTTTTTGGGACTTTGTCTCAAGAGGTTTGTCCCTTACACAATCATCTGATCCCTTTTAATTGTTAGCGACTAACCCGCGCGAAACACTTTGATTTCAGAAACTGATTAACATTGTTTACATGTTTATGTAGTAAGGTTCGATCCAAAGAATGATTTGCTTTCGTTCAAGAATCGAAAGGGATAAATCCATAATAATATGTTCGGATTCGATAAATTCTTATTTTGTCTTCTCAAATCCCATCTCAATAAGTCGAAATTACGTTTCGATTTCACACAAATAAACGGCGTGATTTTTGTTAATATAATATATACAATTATTGGTGTAATTTCTCCAACAGAAAGCATAGTTTAAGGTATTATAGGAAGGATATGTTTTAAGGTTAGGGAAGGAATTAGAGAAAATGACAATTATAATAGCAATGCAATCAAAAAATCTATGAATGCATTTCATGAGAGGAGCGAACATGTAAAGGCAAATACATAAAGAAATAACTCCAATCAATAGGCATGAAGGATACTGTGTACACCAAGTGGAATTAGGGGTCCTCGTTTGCCAAAAAACTCTAACTCATGGGGAAATGAAAAATTATAAGAGTCAACTTGATGAAATTTCACAACATAGAACTACAAAGATAACCAAATTTAGGAAATAGCATACAAATCATATATGATATACTTGTCCAAATGCCAACATCTTGATCGAATATTTTAGGCTTTGGAACTGGTTGCATCTGGTGCTTTTATGGGAAGGCTTGAAGTATTTATACGTGTCAAATTATCAATCCACATCATAATCTTTTAAGAAGACTCAAGAATCAACAACAATTTTGTTTGCACGATTTGAATGGTAATTGGAACTAACACTCCCACATGGTCACCAGTGGTAAAATTACTTGTAATTTTGGCAATGTTAACTCCATAATCAATTTGGAAATTGTGTAAAAGGCTGAAACGCGTAGAGAAATGAATTGGTGAACAGTAGAAACCGGAATCCAATCTTCTTCGATTGGAAGGAAATGAAGCTATGGTTCTTTTCTAAGAGGGAGATTTAAGACAAATGAAACACTGAAGAGAAATGATAGAGAACGATGAAGGTTCAAGGTAAATGGAAGATGGAAGAGATGCTTTTCAATCAGAGATATTTACGTGATATTTATTGATGAACAATGAAAAACCTTTTTGATGTACGGTATTGAACCAGTTGTAAACCAGCCAAGTGATATATATATATATATATATATATATGTTAGGTAGCCTATTATGAAGAAACTAATTTAACCACTCAAATACTTGACACGTAGCTCAATAAATTTAAAGGATCCTCTTATTAATTCAATCTATACACCCGAATGGCCAAAATTTGTTCTTGCATCACATAAACCCTCTCTACCTAACTACTTCTCAAGACCTGAAGTTTGAAGAACAGGACAGGAAGTATGTTAGGCTACGTAGCCTAAACGCACTGCCATTGCCAAGGTCGTTAGTGTTGACGCCTAAGCTAAGCCCTGCTATAGAAATAGGACCAAATGACAAGCAAAAGCCAAAAACTTGCCTAGCTTGCTAGTGATCAAGGTTCCACGTCGGATGACATGACATTAATTAATTATGTCAAAAGGTATTTGATCAATTGAAGTAATTAGATTCATCTTGGCTTGGGCTCGATCCATTATTCTCACGACCCACATTAATCCATTTCATCTTCTATAAATAGGCAAGGTAACTCCACATTTGAGGTAAGTTTTCGCTACCTCTAGCCACTCCCCTTCTCGTATTTTCCCTTACACTTTACATATATTATTTCGGTAATGGCTTGACCGTCAGAGTGCAAATGGTTACCAAACCTTTTTTCCTCCTGTCAACAATCCTTGCCTCCTAATGAAGTGTTTAATGAATGTGTAAGTTGAATCTAGTTTGACGATAAGACAGTCGGAGTGTTGTTGGCCACATGATCGCTGAATTTTGAGGCTAACAGTCCCTAGAAGAGGTATGTTAGTTATTCTTAATTTTCCCAAAATTTTCAGTGAGTCAGTGACTCCATTAAACTAATTGAATTCTCTTATTCCATTTTAAGATTCTCATGTTCGTTCCTTTTACTAGCAATCCTGCATTTTTCTGGTAGTTTTTTTATTTTTAAGAAAATTTCAATCTTCCCGATTTATTATTTATTATATATCTAAATGGAATAGCTGTTCAGTAAGAATTGACCATTTCGTGAGGTAATTCTAGATGATCTCAACATGCTCGTCAACTCATCAACCTTTTCTAAAGGGTGTTTGACACCCATTTTTATAGGAAAATGAATTTTAGAATAGTCGATTGATGAGAATGTGTGAATGAAAAATAAGAATGTGCTGTTAAAAAGAAGAGAGAGAACAATGTATTTTAATAAATATAAGAATCAAACGGGGCCTTAATGTCATCGAATATATCTAGAACGATTAGAAATACGTATAAGATAAGCCAAAGAAGGGTTTTACCGGAAAAAGAAGAGAGGAATGAAAACGTACGTTTGATCTCTGTGAGAGAGGGAAACATATTTCTTAAAAGTGCCGGAGAAAAAAATTAGTCTCGGGTTTTCAACGTCCATCTCTAATTCAAATGGTGTATGTGGTACGTCTCTTATCTTTTATGTTGTTCATCAATCCATTTTAGTTTTTAAATATACCTTAATCTTATCTCTTTCAATTGCTGCTCCACCAGTAAGTGCTTTGTTTTATACATTACGGATTAAGTGCTCGTTTTGTAGTGTTTATAACTCGTGAATCCTTAAAAACATATGAACAATAAATCGTTAATAAGTTGTGAATCTTGCTAAAAATGTGTTAAAACGTAAGTTTGATCAACTTAAATTATAATTCAAGCTTTGCAGTAGGAGCGGACTTCGACTTTCACTCTCCCATTAGTTTGATTGGACTTACCGCTATGTACTATTCGCTCGCTCTTTAAAATTATGGAAACTTTGATAAAATAATTAAAAATTGATCATCTTTTATTTATTTATTTTAATTTAACCGTTTGGCAAATTTATAAAATCACCTATAATTGGACAAATTTTATTTTCAATCATAAATTTCAATACATTCACAATTATTATTAATTTATCAACTATTCATTTTTATGTATTAAAAAATTTAGTCGATTATAAATTGTTTCTAAATGGAATTTAAAATCAAGTGGACATTCTCTCACATTTTTTGAACTTTTATCTTTTTTACGGCATTATTAACATTACAATTTTTAATAATTAGATTATATTTTAATATCATGAAAGGTTAATAACTTTGCATGTTAACTGACTTTTTTTCATAGCATTGTATTCTCAAATTAACATAAATTATTTTTAATTATGATTTCTCTCCAAATTTTTCTTTAAGATAAAACTTATGTTTGGTAGGAATTCTAAGCTTTGCTCTAAATCAAAATCAATAATTAATTTTAACCATATACCACACATTCAATCAACTTTTTATTAAATTCTACTAAAAATTTAATTTTAATCTTCACAAAACAAGAACAGAATAAAAAGACTCATTTGCCTATTGTACTTTTAACTAAGTAAAATAAATAGTAACACAAAAATGCGATTAAAACTTTGACATTCATTTTAAAGTACGTTAATAATATTTTTGAACAAAAATTATGATTAATGGCAATATTTTTTATTAATAAAATGGTAAAATGAGAATATAATAAAGAAGAGATTATACATTTGTTTGATTCCCTTTATTTTCAAAATGTATTTTTTTCTTATTTTCAGCATACATTCTTTAATAAAAATAATATTACATATAAATTCAAAAAAATTTTTTAACCACACATTCTGTATCAATCTATTATTTGAAAATGTATTCTTAATAAACAATGGGGGCTCAAACGGGTGATAAAATACAAGTGTGGTAAAGAATAAAATTAATATAATTAAAATATAGCTCTCGTTTGGCTCCCATTAATTTTCATTTCATTTCATTCCATTCCATTTTTCTTTCTCTTATTTTCAACCGAATAATGCTATTTGCAGTGAAGACTATCGGCAGTCACTCTATGTGGTGTACACTTGACAGTTTTTCATTTGATGTATAATTAAAAAAATAACTACCATATTTATGTATCAAATACCAAATTGCCAATTGTATGCTACATAGGGCAGCTACTGATAGTCTTCACTACGAATAATATTACTCTTTTCAACCACACAATCTTCCATAAAATAATATTACACGTAATTTAAAAAATTTTTATTTCTTTTCAACTACTCATTTTTAAAAAAAATATTATTTCACTCATTTTTAATACCACAAAATGGGGGCCAAACGGGAGGATAGTTCATTACTAAAAATTTCGTCACGATTCTACAGCCGACTCTGTTCTCGTCATTTCCAATTTTCCATATTCACCCTTTCAAAATCTTTCCAGGGTGTTGCTGACACATTGACATCTCATAACGTGAAGGGTCAAAATTGGGAATATAATCACTCATCTACCGACAACCACCACGTATATAAACTACGACAGCGTACAACTAGAAAACCACAGCGTACATCTCACACCAATTCAGACTAGGGTTTCTGAGAATAGGTCGTCAATCATGGATGCAGCAAGAGAAGTTGAAGGATTTCTCGATAAAATCAAACCGCCTCGCCTCGAAGACGCGGGCCTTGAAGATTGCGCATTGCCACCGGAATCCATCAAGGAGGCATTTCTCAAGGCCGCCACCGCTGTCCGAACAATCATCTCAGCACCCGATGACGAAGATGAAGGCCGTTGTGTGGACGATCCAGTAGAAGGTTCCTCTGATATACTCGTGGGGATCAAGGAGGGTGTAAAATCCCCTCCTGGAAGATGCTCCGCTGAGAAGGACGGCGGTTTGACGGAGGCGACTGGTGATGATGTGGTGGTTTCCAGCGGTAGTACGGATGATAAACCGGGTGATTTGCTAGGATCAAGTGTGCCGGAGGATGGAAAGGCGGCTTGTGTTGATGGATTGCAGGGGTTGGAAATTGGAGGAAAGCGTAGCGGTATTCTGGACAAGAAAATGAAGAATGAGAAAGGAGAGGATGAAGAAGAAGAAAAACCAATTTTAGCGGAAGGTTATGTGTGAATTATTATGTAATTTATTAGACGGTAATTTCTGTTTAGCACTAACGTTTTTCAAATGCGTTGGTGCTAGGGTTTAAGGAAGTATGTTTAATGATATTTTTTTCTTGATTTTTCAGTATAGCATATGTCATTTATGTATTTTATCGAAATCCTCTCCACCATTCCATTATTGTTACTGTATAGTATTCTAACTTTATGGTACCATTTGTTCGAGTAATTCTATTCGTAATCGCTCATGGTCACCTCACGGGACATACACAGGTGACCATTTCATTCGGCAATTAGAATTATTTTTACAATTAAACTACTTGTACAAAGTAGTTTGACAAAAATGGTTGACAAAGTGTATATTAGCAAGATCAAGATCAATGAATTTTGTTGCTTTCAAAAACAATTTTTGAATTGAATGGTATTGATTTTGTCAACAATTACTTTGTCAACCTGTTTTGTAAACTTATTTTGTAAGCATAGCATCACTCTTATTTTTATATTTATTATTGGATACCGAACCAAATGGAACTTGCACTATCGACAATGCCTTTGTTTGAGTCCCATTTTAAAGGAAAAAATGAATTTTTAAATAGTGTATTGATGTAAAATGTGTGGTTAAAAAATAAAGAAAATTTTTGAATTTACGTGTAATATTATTTTATTGAAAAATGTGTGATTAAAATTATGTCAAAACAATGTAGAAGAATTCATTTTCTTCAAAGAATGGGGATCAAACAAGGGCAATATTTGCTTTTACCTCTTATTCCAGTGAATTTTTACTGCAATTAGAAATATTATTGATCACTTCAGCACATAATCACATATTGTAATTCTATTTTGTTTTGAATTTTTCTACACGGACAAATGTGGCTGGCTGCGCATTGAAGATGATAGTTTGCGTGTTCGGTGATGATTATGCAATTAAAATTTTTGAACTCCAAACATTTACAGTTTTAAATTTGAATTTATGTAAAAACTAGTTTTATCTTTACTCCATTTATTGCAAATTCAGTGGCTTCTTACTTCTTAAAAATTCAAAAACTAAAACATTTTCTCAACCCAAATGTTTTTGGTGCTTTCAGTGTGGATTCTTGTTTGGATTTGACTTTTGACTTGCCTCTTGAGAAATTTTGATCTGGTTGGAGTGAATTAAAAGGGGATTGACAAATTTGATTAAAATGTAGAAAGGGTTTAGCGAATTTGATTGGATTGATTGTTTCAGCAAATCAGAATTTGAAATTGGGAAATGGAATTTCAAAAAACAATTGGATTACTGAAGAATTTAGATCAGCTTATTCCACCAAAATAATCAGTTTCTTGCAGCAAAGCAGGGATACATATTTGGCCTGTGAGTCTATTCTTTTTCATTATAATATAAAAGAGCCTTTCAGATACTTGAATTACAATGAATTTGGTATGCCCGACTGGACAAGAGACGACAATATTAATGAACGCAAAGTATTGTCGAGTACTGCATTCCAAACATCCCTAAGAGAGTTTTTTGCAATTTGTTATCAATTTACAGGAACTAGAATTTGGATGGAGAATTTTTGGTGGTACAGTGATTGGATTCTTTGTTGCTGCTCTTGGGAGTGTGTGGTGGTCAAGTGATTGGATTCTTTGTTAATGGACAACGTCTCAATGATGATAAAGTATCAGAGGCGATAAACTTCTAATATCTTAACGACATATTCAGTAGATTGCACTCGAAAAGTATTAAGAGAAACTAAAATCTTCTTGGTTATATCCTCAAGTTCTCTTCTCTATTGTGTATTAAATATGCACAAATAATTATAGATTCACAAATTAGTTTCCAGGCCAAAGCTGATATACACAAGTCTTGTAGGTCTCGGTTATTGACATTGCCTAGTTGAAGTCAATTAATCAGACAAGGTCTTCTTTGCAATCATAGGCTTTGGGATAGATGACTTTACTTGAAAAGTTTTGTCAACCATTTTTTATTTTCATAAGTTACCATTATTCTTGAAACATCAACAAGTATTCCATCCCAAGGGCAGAAGGATAATTGAGTCATTTTTTTTGTTTGTTCGGCTCTCCCCTTAATTTAAAACCAAGAGCCACGTGCCTTCGTCAAAACATTTTTTTTTCCTCGCATATGTTCCTATTCTTTACTTATGATTTGGGTTTGTTGGGGGCAAGGAGTAGCCTAAAGTATCAGAATTCCCAATTCATAAACATCAGTAGTCAACTCAAATCGCCATTTTCCAGGAGCCATTTCTCACAAACCGTCACAAGCACAAATCTTCCTCAAAGTCACCGATATCAACCCAATAGCTGTATCAGCAACATCTTCAGTTAGCGTATCAGGCATGTTTGTAACTGTTAATCAAAGAAGTCATTCACGATTAAACCAAAATTTACACAAACCATTCAAAACAGAAATTTAAATGCAGAAAGTAAAGTGTAAACACAAGGATTTTTCGACCGAAGCCCCAGAGGTTCAGCTTAAAGCCTCAAAATATGGAAGTCAAAAAATACAGAAGTACAGATCACAAGATAGTCACAGAGACTTATCTTTCTACACGAAGATGATTGAACTATACTTCTCACAGGAATCACTCAGATCTGTTACAAAGCACTACCGAACTCAAGAATCACTCAGATTCTTGTTACTAATCACCGAACTCAAGAATCACTCAGATTCTTGTTACTAATCACTCAGAAAAGTCAAGCATTCATACAATCAGTAGTATTACAGTGAGATTACTGTATTTCCTCACTATTATCTCTCAAGGAACCAAATCACAGAGGAGAAAACACGAAGAGTTTTCAAGAGGGAGCGTATGAACTCAAAACCGGCAGAGAGAAAACCCTTGAAAGAAAAATGACGATTCAGCTGAGTGAAAATGAGTCCAATCAGAGTAAATAATATCAGAAGCATCCAGAAGCCTGATCCAACGGCCACCATCATCACACATGTCATGATCCAGTATAATGTTGTTATTTAAAAGAAGTGTCAAACTTATTAAACACGATTTTTGCTTTAAAAACTGTGGAAGCAATATGACCAAAGGTCCAGGGTTCGAACCCAACAATCTCCACCTTGCTTCCAACAGTTTTGAGTATAGTGCAGCCTAGGAGCTTAACCAACATTTTACAATTTCATTTGCTCTAGTTTCTGCACAGTTAGTGAAAAGAATCAATAGACAATATCATTAAATAGTTTTGAAACTTATTTAAAGGTATTACTTTTGTTCCCATGTCAGATGGATTATGTAAAGTAGCAACTTTTGCAATATTTAGCAATCCTTTTGATATTACATCCCTTATAAAATGATATTTAACATCTATATGCTTAGTTCTATCATGAAACATGGGATTTTTACTCAAATGTATTGCACTCTGATTATCAGAATATAAAGTATGACTAGTGTTCACAAAACCAAGCTCATTTAAAAGACCATTTAACCATATTCCTTCTTTGATGGCATCAGTAGCAGCAATGTATTCTGCCCCAGTAGAGGATAAAGCAACAATTTTTTGTAACTGAGATTTCTAACTAACAACAGTACCACAGAAGGTAAAAAAGTAAGATGAAGTGGATCTCCTGTTGTCTCTATCTCCAGCAAAATCAGAATCAGTAAATCCTTCTAGTATTACCCCTTCTTTATTCATTTTAAATATTAATCCTATATCAGATGTTCCCTTTAAGTATTTCATCAACCATTTTACAGCTTCCCAGTGACTTTCACCAGGGTTGGCCATAAATCTACTCAAGACACTGATACTATAGGCTAAGTCAGGTCTAGTACATATCATCAAATACATTATTGACCCTATAGCATTAGCATAAGGAATTCTTGACATTCTAGACAATTCATCTTTAGTTTTAGGACAAGCATCTGATGTAAGAATAAAATGATTTGCAAGAGGTAAAGATACTGATCTACATTCAAACATGTTAAATTTTTTCAAAACTTTATTCGCATAGTTTTGTTGATTTAAGAACAGCAACCCTTTTTCTTTATTTCTAACAATTTGCATACCAAGAATCTTCTTGGCAGGGCCAAGATCTTTCATCTCAAATTCAGATTTAAGCTTTTGTTTAATATTTTCAATTTCAGATTTGCAGCTACTGGCAAGAAGCATATCATCAACATAGAGAATCAAGTAAAGAGAATTATTATTGTCATTACCTTTATGGTACAAACATGTGTCATAGCTACTTCTATTAAAGCCAAGTTTTAACACAAATGAGTCAAAACGTTTATACCACTGTCTAGGAGCTTGTTTTAGCCCATACAAAGACCTTTTTAATAAACACACAGTTTTATTTGGATCACCCTTTTCAAATCCTACAGGTTGTCTCATATAGATCAATTCATCTAAATCACCATACAAGAAGGCAGTTTTAACATCTAATTGATCTAATTCTCACTCAAATTGAGCAACCAAAGCAAGAATGCATCTAATAGTGGTATATTTAGCTACTGGGGAAAAAATCTCATCATAGTCAATCCCTTGTTTTTGGGTAAACCCTTTAGCAACAAGTCTGGCCTTGTACCTAACATTATTGTTGCCCTCCTCCCCATCTTTAATTTTATATATCCACTTGCAATCAACTAATTTCTTTTCCTTTGGTTTGTCAACCAGATCCCAAGTCTTATTTTTATATAAGGAGTCCATTTCCTCCTCCATGGCAGCTAACCATTTCTTACTATCATTTGATTTTATAGCTTCATAATAAGAGTAAGGTTCAGTCTCAGTTTCATCTTGATAGGTGAAATAGGAAGCAAATTCATCAGTATTGTATCTAGCAGGTGGCCTAATTTGTCTCCTTTCCCTATCCCGAGATAATTGGTATCCATCAGGAGGTAAATCTGTGAGATTAATAGGTTCAGTCTCTCTCTGATCAATATCATTTTCATTCAGATTTGAATCAGCATTTTCAGCTTCTAATGGTACATCATTGTTATTTCCAAATTTAATAGGCTCCACCTCAATCTGAGCATTATTATCAGAAACATTTCTTTGATTTCCTTTTAAACATGGCATGCAAGACTCATTAAAAACAACATCTCTTCTTATAATGACCCTATAACCTTTCTCACTATGTACCCACAGTCTATATCCCTTGACATTTTCAGCATATCCCAAAAACACACATTTTAGAGACATAGGCACAAGTTTCCCTATATTTTGATGTGCATATGCAGCACAACCAAAAGTTTTCAAATATGAGTAAATCACAGGTTTTTGAGACCACACAAATTCAGGCACATTATAATTCAAAGAACTTGTAGGACTCCTATTAATTAAATAAGCAGCAGTTTTTACAGCCTCCCCCCAAAATAGTTTTGGTAGTCCTGAGCTTAAAAGCATGCATCTGACCTTATTTAATAATGTCTTATTCATCCTTTCAGCAGTGCCATTTTATTGAGGTGTATAGGTGACAGTTTTATGCCTTAAAATGCCATGTTCTTTACAAAAGTTATCAAAGTCATAATTGCAAAACTCTAGCCCATTGTCTGTTCTTAATGTTTTGATTTTTAAATCAGTCTGATTTTCAATTTGGGTTTTCCAATCTCTAAAAACAATAAAAGTTTCATCTTTAGTTTTCAAAAGAAAAACCCATATTTTCTTTGAAAAATCATCCACAATCAGCAAGTAATATTTAAACCCAGACAAGGTAGATGTAGAAGCAGGCCCCCACAAATCAACATGAACATACTCAAGAATTTTCTTTAATTTAAAGGTACTCAGTGAAAATGGGAGTTTAGTTTGTTTGCCAATCAAACACTCTTCACAATTTGAAACTTCACCAATGTTTGATTTTCCAAAAACACCTTTAGTTTTAAGAGCATTCAAACCTTTTGTACCAATGTGACCAAGTCTACCATGCCATAATTTTGCTAGATTAAAATCATCATTTAAAACTGCATTAGACAGACCCATAAGAGGTTTAGCATTTAAGAAGTATAGACCATGTCTCTTTGGGATAGAAGTGACTAAATCACTTCCCCTAAAGATTTTTATTTGTCCTTGACCCAATTTTATGTCAAACTCCATATCATCTAACATTCCTAAGGAAATTAAGTTTCTTTCTAAATTTGGTACAAATCTAGCATTTTCTAAAAGTAAGATTCTGCCATTTTCTAAAAGAAGTTTTATGGTTCCAATGCCTTTAACTTTGCAAGTCATGTTGTTCCCCATGACAACTTGTCCTCCATTAGACTTTCAAAATTTAGAAAGTAGTTTTTCTTAGGACACATGTGGAAAGAACATCCTGAATCTAGAATCCACTCTTGATTTAAGTTTCTTTCAACATTAACAAGGACTAAACCATTGTCAGATTGAAGTGTGTCACATGACATAACAGTATTTCCCTCACTGACTCTCTTCTCTTTAGAATCATTCTGTTTTTTATAGCAATCCTTAGCAAAGTGACCTAGTTTACCACAATAATAGCACTTTTTACCTTTTGCCTTATTCTGAGATCTAGCTTTATCAAAAAACTTCTTTTTAGGTTCATTAGAAAATTTTGAATGAAAGTTTGATCTACCAACAATTTTACTTTTTATCAGTAAATTTTCACCATATTGTTTATTGGTAGACTCAGATTTCGGTTCAAGTACCCTATTTCTTAAAGCAGTTATTATAATATCAGTGGTAAGTTTATCCCTACCATACTCTAAGGCATTTTTAAGGTCTTTGTGTCTGTCACTAATGGAGTTCAACAACATCACAGCCAATTGATCTTTTGATAATTCTTCATCACAGTTGGTGAGGTCTTGGGTCAGTTTGGTAAACCTATCAAGATTTTCTTCCAAATCTACTGAAGGATCCATTTTAAATGAGAAAAACTGTTTTAGTAAAAAAATTTGTTTGGGACAGTTTTTGGTTCATATTTAGCTTTCAACTTAGTCCATAAGTCTTCTGCAATTTTAGTTTCTCCTATAGACCTGATCACATTGTCAGAAAGGTATAAGAAGATAGTACTCCAGGCTATTTCTTCCAATTCAGTTTTCTTATCTTCTTCAATACCAGTAGGCCATGAATTATCAAGAGCTTTAGCACATTTTAATTGCATCAATATAGCTCTCATTTTCTGACTCCACATACTAAAGTCTCCCCTCCCATCATACAGTTTCAATTCAAACTTAGCAGTAGCCATACTGAGTATAACACTTAGTGAATACACAATATACAGTACTAATGTTCAAGAAACACACAGGAACATACACAGTTGGAGACAATAGCAAACTCAAACTCTTTTTAGTGCCAATCTAACAATACACTTTAAACAAATTTCTCAAGACAGTAAACAGTTAATACTTATTACAGGAGGCAGTATTATAACTGAACAGAGATTTCAAAAAAAAAACTGTGCCTCGACTGACTTCTCCTACAAGATCTTTCAATTGTACTACTCACAGAGTTGTTATCTCAGATTCCCAAGACTTCAAGAGTCTTTGGACAAAGACCAATCACTGGAGTTTTAATAGTACAAGGTAAATCAAGGGAAAAATTCAGGAGTCAAGCAATATGAAATTACTAATTTCAAGATACAGGAAAGATCTCACCAAAGAGTTCGTTAGAACTCAGATTCCTCCAACAACTGAGTTGACTGTCATTTGAAGCAGGTTTCAGAAATCCAGATTAATCAAGAAGTAACAAGCTCTGATACCATTGTTAATCAAAGAAGTCATTCACGATTAAACCAAAATTTACACAAACCATTCAAAACAGAAATTTAAATGCAGAAAGTAAAGTGTTAAAACAAGGATTTTTCGGCCGAAGCCCCACAGGTTCAGCTTAAAGCCTAATCCCCTGTTGAGCATCCATTATAAAACGGATCTAGCTCGGTTGCACTAAAAACTCAAAATATGGAAGTCAAAAAATACAGAAGTACAGATCACAAGATAGTCACAGAGACTTATCTTTCTACACGAAGATGATTGAACTATGCTTCTCACAGGAATCACTCAGATCTGTTACAAAGCACTACCGAACTCAAGAATCACTCAGATTCTTGTTACTAATCACCGAACTCAAGAATCACTCAGATTCTTGTTACTAATCACTTAGAAAAGTCAAGCATTCATACAATCAGTAGTATTACAGTGAGATTACTGTATTTCCTCACTATTATCTCTCAAGGAACCAAATCACAGAGGAGAAAACACGAAGAGTTTTCAAGAGGGAGCGTATGAACTCAAAACCGGCAGAGAGAAAACCCTTGAAAGAAAAATGGCGATTCAGCTGAGTGAAAATGAGTTCAATCAGAGTAAATAATATCAGAAGCATCCAGAAGCCTGATCCAACGGCCACCATCATCACACGTGTCATGATCCAGTGTAATGTTGTTATTTAAAAGAAGTGTCAAACTTATTAAACACGATTTTTGCTTTAAAAACTGTGGAAACAATATGACCAAAGGTCCAGGGTTCAAACCCAACAATAACTCTGATTACTCTTCACCAATTTTGTCCATTCCCACTCTGTAACTCGCCACAATTTTACAAATGCTGCAGCGGCCCATATCATGATTTTGAACCCGATAAACCATTTGATAATGAAGATGGGCAGCGATACATGAAAAAAACAGTGAATTTCATGTTGTAACATTGAGTTGTTTAGACTTTAGAGGCGTTGGGTATAAGAATAAACTCCTTGTTTAAGGGTTCTTCTGGGTTTCTTGTTTTTCTGTTATTTTTGCTGCACTTGCTTCTATAGTTTCTCAAGCATTGAATGCAATCTTCAGCTTCAGGAATAAAAATTTTACACATCAAATGAGAGGATTCTAGGATAAATGAAGAGAATAACAGCAAAACATCCTGTGACAAACTAATATACCAAGTTCTGGGGGGAATAAAATGATGATTAATAGCAAGAAAAAGATCCCACCGTTTGATGACAAAATCAAACCATAGGTGTTAACAGTGGTTTTTTCGTAAAATGAGCTTCTAAGTTCCCAATGACAAGGTCAGCCATGGCCTTGCGCGTTTCTATCGTGCCACTTCCCACATGCGGCAACAAGACTACATTATCAAGGTCAAAGAGCTGGTGAGGCACCTCGGGTTCCTTCTCAAACACATCGAGTCCAGCACCACCCAAACGACCCTCCATAAGAGCCAATACCAATTCTGGTTCATCGACATGCGGGCCCCGTCCAACGTTGATGAGAATTCCCTTTGGACCCAATGCATCAATTACTTCACGGTTCACAATATGATGGGTTTCAGGTGTTAGTGCACAAGCCACGACCAGGATGTCACAGTTCAAAGCCAAGTCCATGACACTCGCATAGTACTTGTAATTTGTGTTTGGTTTCTCTGATCTTGAGTGGTAACTGATTGGGCAACCAAAGGCTTCTGCTCTCTTAGCAATTGCTAAGCCAATTCTGCCCAATCCAATAATTCCGATTGTTTTACCACTGAACTGCAAGAGAAGCTAGAAAAGTTGAGGGCAGGTATCGAATTTAAATTATGCAAATTAAAAAAAAATAAAAATAAAAATAAATAAATAAATGAAGAAGTAGAAGTTGTCAAAAGAATTGTCAAATTGAGGATCACATAGATATATAGAGAAGAATCGCTGGCGAATGACCAAAAGATGACTCGACCAATTCCAAGACACTAAGGGATTCACGTGTTCCAATTGAAAGATAAATGTACAATAACTCCAATAACAATCAAAGATAATAACTCTGTAACCTCCAGCTTCAACCCAAAAAGAAAAAAAGCAAACTGGGGGGAAAGTCATGGTACACTCTAGATTTATGGAGATACAACAACAGAACAACAAACAACAAATGAAGCCTTATTCTCAATAAATTTGGAGTCGGATCCATGAATTATTTTTCTATAAACATTCATGTCATAGTATTTGACAGAGATTTAATTTGGTTGTCAATCTAAGGCAGGCCTCCTCTCTTACCCTGGGGCTAGGGACCGACTATGAAAAACAAGACAACATAATTCTTCTTCGCGATGATGTAAGCAAATCTATAGGCTGCTCGACAAGAGCATTGGACATGATCAAGTACGATTTAGTACATTGTAATACTAAGCCCCACAACTGCAGAAATCCAAGTTCTTTTGAGCTAAATTTAAGGCTCCGCCCCTCAGTGTTTATCACAGGATATTGACCCAATTCCATGTCATCAACTCTCCCACAATTTTGGAGCCCTTTTGAATGGTAAGGATTAGGCATTATAGACGTAGCAGAAGCTTATAGGGAGGACAAAACTCGAACTTGTTGATTTGAAAGATCAAATACCAAGAAAAGAGAATAATTCGAGAAACTTCTCAAGACTTTTTATTTAATTCAAAACTCAATTGAATTTAAAAATTAAATATAAATCATATTTAAAGCAGTACTTACATTAAGAGAGCAAGGAGACATCTTTATAATATAAACAAAAGCAAGTCAAGAAATTATAAAGAATTCGTATTCAAACCAAGAACTGAAGATAGTGTTATAATTTAACAGCAAAATCATTATCATCCAATTTACCAAAAACTCCGGATATAACAAGTATGCTAACTGATCCAACAGCTACTCAAATCAACATTTTTACCCACTTACACCAATCCAAAAGCAAATTCGGAACAGACTTATTCATCCCACCAATGGACATTGGTCCATAACCATTAAGAAAAAGAAAAATGAATACCAACGTCAACATTTTTACAATTAAATGAAAATTCACACATTCAAGAATTCAGTCTTTAACCAAGAAATCAATTTTACCTTAGTAGTCAATTTGAAATCACCAAGTTTCCACAGCCCCTTTCTCACATATTTATCACACTCGCAAATTCTCCGGCACACTGACAGCATCAATCCGATCGCCAAATCAGCCACATCCTCCGTCAAAACATCGGGAGTATTTGTCACTCTAATACCCTTCTCCTTACATTTGATCAAATCAATCTTATCCAATCCCACACTAAAACTAGAAATTATTTCTAATTTCGGCAAGGCCTCGATCATCTCGGCGTCGGCTCCGGCAGTGGCGTTGCCCACCACTGCTCGGATTGACTCTGAGTGCTGCTTCAACAAGTCCTGTCTCTTCGGGTGGGTCCACAGTTTCAAGAGCTTGAACCGATTGTCAAGCTCTTTTTCGAGGTAAGAATTCATCGGGCACGTCATCAGAACACTGATGTCCTTCATTTTTGAGGCGGCGGCGGCGAAAAACGACGGGAAGATTTTTCTGCTGGGGAAATCGAAGTGACGAGAAAATGGGGTTTGATTGTTCTTTAGTACAGAGAAGGGGTGTGCTGTGTGAGTGGGGTAGGAGATCAACGGCTGAGATGCAGCGATTCTCACGAATTGGGCTAGCATTTTCAGAGAAATCAACGTTGTCGATTACGATTATCGAACTGTAGGAAGTGTTAGTGAAGTTGATGCCACTGTTCGATGCTCGTTAACTGAAAACGAAAACGAAAATGAAAATGGGGAAAATGGTATTTTTTTTTTAAAATGAGTGGTTGAAAAAGAAGGAAAAATTTTTAATTTACGTGTAATATTATTTTATGAAAGATTGTGTGATTGAAAATAGGAGAGAAAAAAATAAAATGTAATGTAATGTAATTTAATGAGAATCTAAAAGGAGCATATGAAGCCTGCACAGTAGTACATTTACACGTGGAATTTTAATTAATATTTTATAAAATAAAATTTTCATTTAGGTCCCATCTAGTAGCCATTTTCTTCAAAATACATTTTTCTCTCTTCTTTTCAACCACACATTCTTTATTAAAATAATATTACACGTAAATAAAAAAATTTCCTTCTTTTTCAATCATATTTCACATCAATTTACCATTCTAAAATACATTTTTACATAAAAATGCCTATCAAATGCCTCCTTAAAGAAAAATGAACAAATTAATGCTGGACTTCGACTACGAAAAAAAAATCTAACTTTGAACCTTATTCAGGGCATGTTCAGTAGTGATTATTAGAATTGATTTTTTGATCATTAGAGAGAAAAGAAGTCCCACCTATGAATGGAGAAGTAAAAAATGTGACTGAAATAATGAATTAACGATAAAAAAAATCAATTTTTTTGTTGAAAAATCGCTACCAAACAGGGGTTCAATTGTAACTTTATTATGTTTTTGGTATTTTGAAAAACGGTTATTGTCCAAAACGTCCTTACGTATAAAGTTTATTGTGCAAAATATTCCAATGTTGCATTTTTATTTTATTTTTTTGTATTTTCACCTCTATTTCAACATTTCATTGTGAAAATCATTATTTTCATTCAATTTTATCTAATTGTGTAATAAAAAGTAACTTAATAACAAATATACCTTCCTATTTAAATTGAAAAAAGAAAAAAAGAAAAGAAAAGATGATAAATAACTAAGGTTACATTTGATTGCAAGCATAGAAAGAAAATAAATTTTAGGCAATTCAATTCCTTAGAATGTATTTGTATCAAAATTAATAATTAAATATATTTGATTAATTTAGTTTTCAATCTAAAAAATATTATACTGATCCATTTTTTATTGGTTGGTAGATAAGGGAGAGTAAATATATAAAAGAGAGAAAGGGGAGTGAATTACCTGAAAAATAAAAATCATTCCTATCCTAAAGAAAATTATTTTCTTATTTTTGAAGAAAATATTATCCCATGATCAGAAGTTGGAATATATTTTTCATGGAAAAAATTGTCCATCAAACACCTCAAAAGTAGAAATTTATGTGGAAAAATGACATTTTTCATGAAAGGTAAAACTAATCAAACATACTCTAATGGTAACCATTCTTCTAAATTTATTATTATTTTTTTTAAATTGCAAACTAGGAGTGGGCATTTTAACCGAAATCGAATCTCTCGAACCGAAATCGGCTAAAAAAAAAATAGGAATCGAAATCGAAAATCAAGAACTGATTGGGTCCGGGTCGATTTTTGGTTCTTGAATTGGAACCATGAGTAACCGAATGGAACCGATTTCGATGTAATTTTTGTTAATCTAATAAATTTTAATTTTGTTAAACTTGTAATGATTATTATATTTTAATTATGTCTTGTAGATTTTGTTAATGACACAACTCATGCAATAGATGTCTAAATGGCTGGTGCGACACAACTCACATGGATTAATGTAGGTGACTCAAAATCTATTGAGAATATTCATCATCTGGAGTTTGTGATTAACATTTTATGGCTCTTTTGATGACATTTTTCCGTTGTTTGACTTCTCACGTTGGTTTTAAGATTTTTTGAACTTCTAATTATTATCATAATAAGATGGTCTTATTAATGTTTTTTTAAGTTTTAAGGCTCTGTTTAGTGCTAATCCTATATTCCTACTAAAATTCTCTTTAAATTACAACTAGTTTTTAATGCTCTTTGAAGGCTAGTCTTATTAATTTTTTGTGTAACTTTTAATATGTTAAGGCTTTGTTTACGTCTTGGATGATTAATCCATTAATGTTAGTTACTAAATCTATGACATAATGGATAGTTTGTGATAATTCGTCTTATTAAATGATTGGATTTACTAAATATGTATTCAAAAAAATGTTATGTGTAGAACCGAACCGAAATCGAAACCGAAACCGATGGTTCGGGTTTGGGTTTGGGTCCAATAATTACATGGAACCGAATGGATCCATTTATAAAATACCCGAAATATAAATGGGTGGTTCTGAGTATTGAAATACGCAAACTGACCCACCCGACGCCCACCCCTATTGCAAACTAATCTCAAATAAATTATTTAAAAATTAGAAGAAAAAATGTCCTCCTTTTTCCGTCATTCTTCTTTCCCTTCTCCCTCCACCTCCACCTTTTCCTGCACCACAACCATTGCCGCAGCCGCCACCATCGGATTGAAGAATTAATTTAATATTTGGGAAATTAGAACCAATTCATTTATGGAAAATGAATCTGTTGACACATAAAAATTCAGCCCAAATCGAACGGCCCAAGGAATGAAGCCCAATTAGAGGGTCCCCAAGTCAGATAGCCCAAAGAACGAAACCCAATCAAACAATTCAAGAGAAAGCCCAAATAGGAAGGCCCAAGAACGCGGTAACACCATCGCCCAAGTTTGCAAGTCGCCCAAAATCTGAGCGAATGGAGTGCCATGCAGTCGCCCAAAACTGTTACTCTATTCTCGCCCAAACCTTC